CAGTTTGTTGAACCCTGAACAATACTACAGACAAAGTTATCTTTAAAAAAATATGCCTGCTTATGTTAGCTTCCTGCTTAATATCCATTCCCCTTGGAATAAAAATCTAAAATTTTATATAGGGACTACATAATCTAGACCATCATTCCAACCACATATTAGTACACCCTCCTCATTCTTGTCTTCTTAAATGTTCTATATTTATGTTCTGTGCTTGTCTTGAAACATGTTCTTTCTGCCTGGAAACTGTGACACTCTTATTTCCATGCTATTTTTAACTGAAATTTGTTAATGAACCTGAAGTCAGGTCCATTCTTTCACTTTCCTACAGCATCTTGCCCTTCTCTTTTATAACATTTATTCTAATTTATTTATTCTAATTCTCTTCTTCTTGCTTGATTGTAAACACCTTGAGGACAAGGACCACATCTGTCTTGTTCATGTTGTATATCCATTGACAAGCTCCGTGTTTACCATATAGTTGGTTCTGCATACATCTTGGTTTACCCACTAGTCCGGAACTGTCTGGGTTTAAGCCTCTGTCAAATGAATGTTATTATTCCCCCTTTACTCTCAAAAGTGTGCCAGTTTGAACAATAAATTAGATATCATACGAGGTCTAATAATTGAGTTTGTAAACTCATCCTAGAAAAAAGTGCTGTGTAACACATTGCTGAGTATCCCTTCCATTGCCTTCCAAGTACTCGCCTTGGGAAGGTATGTACCCATGCCAGCGCATGGGTCTACTTTTCAAAGCAATTTTGGGACTCTTTCTGGAATGATCATTAGAGCTGTTGTTTTATACAACAATGATGTGACAATTACGTTTGTGAACTTGCCACTGTGTAATTACCTGGGCAGTACTGTACCAGAACTGTACGAAAATTGGTAAGGTTTCATAACCTTAGTATATCAGCATCTCACAGCTGTGTTTGTGTCAAAGTGTCACAGTGTCTTGCTGAGTGGCGTTCATTATTGTTCTGTGTTTTTGTGTGCTGTATGATGACAGCTCTGATGGTCATTCCAGAAAGAGTTCCAAAATTGCTTTTAAGCAGATGTTCAAAAATACCTTTTGAGTGACTCCATTTAGTAGAATTTCAAAGATTTAGAGTCCAGGTAACCACTGCTCTTACTTAAAAAGATATTTTGAATTCTTGTAGCTGAAAGAAAAGGCAAAGGTTGGAGAGAAAATACAGAAATTTAATTTCAGAGACAGTATTCAGGGCATACCTATGAATATTCCATGTATATTTAACTTAATATACAGTTCCATGTATATTTAAATATACAGTTCAATGTATATTTAACTTAATTTCTTTAAACTTCAGTACATACAATGAAAACAAGTGATTATCTTGAAACACTAAAGTATCCTCAGTTGCCAAAAGAAGTGTTATTTTTATGTATTTGAATTACCAAGAAAATAGGTAGTAACAAGGGTTAAAATTTAAAAGATTTTTTTTGTTAAAGCTTGATTTGTCTTTTCATATTCGTAATGATATTATTATATTATTGTATTTAGAATTGTTGGTATATTAATAATATACGTAGGATGTATACAGACTCATAATTTACTTGTTCTGTATTTCTCTCAGAGAGATAATAGTAGTCTCTGTTGCCAGTAATTAGGGGATCTGGGGAAGCTAACTCTCCTCAGAAACATTCTGAGGTGAGTATATTCTGAAAGTGAGTATTTAAATCCAGGGCCTCATAGAGCAGAAATCTGCACTCATTTTAAATTTTAAGGTTTAAAGCGACAGAATGGCTTTTAGACTTATTCTCAAATGGGAGAAGAAAGTAGCTTGTGTTAGATTCAGATGTGAGGTGATGAAGGGAGCTTTTAAAAATGTAAACAGACCTACCCTTTTCAAATTCTGATCCATGTCACATTAGCTTCTATTTGGAGAATCTCTAACTAGGAGGATGATGGAAGGGTGTCCTATTTTTCAAGTGTATGGGGGCAAAAAGGGTTTAAACATTTGATTGAATATATAGTACATTAAAAAAAAAGAATATGTAATCTGAAGAAGGCCTGGTCAGACTTAGGCCAAGAACTTAGGACTTAGGAGAGTAAAGTAGCATCACAGAGGTAGACTTTGATCTGTAGAGAAGTATATGGACATGGGACAGAGAGGAATGATCATGCTCTACCAAGGTCACAGTAAACTGTCCCTTAAGCTGTCTACCTTTGCTCTGCTTTTATGCTTATCGTGCAACCTTCTGATTACTAATCTGACTAGTATTCAGGTGTTGTGGGTGGTGGAGTAAAAGATTTCTCATCACTAGAAAGGAATATTACCCACTCTATATTAGTGTATTTCTAACTGAGTGAGTATGTGTAGTTTATGAGTATGGCTTTTTTACATCAATCTCTCTGAGCCCAAGTCTAGGACAGTGACAGTGCTGAGGCCACTCCCTAAACAGTGGTCAGTTTACAAAGCTAATGTCACCCTCTGAAACTTTTTAAAAGAGTACCATCTAGCCTTCTGGAGACTGCTCAACCTTATCAAACCTCTTTTTTCTCCCTTATGCCACTCTCCAAAAATCATTCCTTTTTCAGTTACTTGGAATTCTAGAAGTTTTGTAGTAGTATAGTGCTATATATCTAATAAATGTAACATTCAGACCTGTGTGAAATTGCTAATGATTTAATCACATTTGCTATATAATAGCTTGGCAGTGTAGAAGTGTTTACAATTTTATACTGTTTCTTTTTGACCTTTTTGATCAGCAGAACTTCCCTGCTTATTTTCCCTTGGTCAGTGCACCACTCTATCTCTTACCCAGTCACCCAAGCCAGACACTTGGACCCTTCCTGTTTCTTAACTCTTTGCTAACCATGGTCACCAAGGCCTTCCTCATGTCTAGCTTGAACCTTTTAATAGTCTCCTAAACACCTCTTTAAACACCCTACTCTGTTCTGCAGATGTTACCAAGTAGTAGTAGTAGCTTTTAAAACCACAACTGTGAATTTGTTATTTTTATATGTGAAGCCACTGGGTGTGGCTTTTGATATTTTGACAGTCCTTTAGCATGGCACACAAGGTTCTTCATGACCTGGCTGCTTCCTCTTACCTGCCTCCTGCCTCCAACACATGGGCTCCAGTCATGGTGAACTGGTCTGCCAGGCTGCGTCACTCGTCACAGGCATTTGCCATGCCTGTGCTCATCATGTGCTCATCTTACCTGACCTTTTAGCAGCATTCGACACATTGTACACTTCCTGCATTCCGAAACAGTGTCTTCCCTTGAATTCCATGACATCATTCTTTCCGGATTGTCCTCCTACCTCTCTGGTGTTTCCTTCAATATTTTTTACCAGCCACTGCTCTACTTACCTTTTGCATGTAGGGCTTTCTTGGGGCCTCAGTTTAGGTTCTGTTTTCCCTAAGCCTACTGAATTGACCTCTGATCAAAATGACCGTAGCTTTTTGTACAAGAATTTTTACATTTTGCAAAAAAAAAAGTAAATATTAATTACAATACAGTTAATGTTTATTTTTCTTACAGCTATTTGTTGACTGTAGTAGAGAGGATATGTATGTCCAGTTTCAGTCAGTGAAAATACCATAGTCTGCTGAATGCACTAGTTTGTAGACAGTGGGAGCTAGCCCCACAGTGTGCTTTCTTCATTTGCATGAGTGGTGGTATTCCCTAGTGTTACCCTGCTCTCTCATCTGCCATTCAATAAAATGATTAGATTTTAGCAAACCCCAAAGGGTTGATTCTTATAGTTTATCAAAGAGCATTTGACCTGTCTACATATTTTACTAAAGTAAATGCAACAATTAGGTAGAATAGGGCCAGTTTTGATTCTTTGTTTTAAAGACAATTTTTTTACTGAGAAATAAATTGGAATTGGTAGATGAGACTCTCTGTATAGTTTAGGTCCCTGTCAGGAAATTATTCTTTTTTTTTTTTTTTTTTGAGACAGAGTCTCACTTTGTCGCCCTTGGTAGTGTCCTGGCATCACAGCTCACAGCAAGCTCCAACTCTTGGGTTTAGGTGTTTCTCTTGCCTCAGCCTCCTGAGTAGCTGGGACTACAGGCGCCCGCCAGAATGCCTGGCTATTTTTTGTTGGAGTTGTCACTGCTGTTTTAGCTGGCTGGGGCCGGGTTCAAACTGGCCACCCTGGGTATATGGGGCCGGTGCCCTACCCACTGAGCCACAGGCACCATCCCCAGGAAATTATTCTGATCAAACTAAAGTCAGAAATATTTTCAAAAGCAAGAATTTTGGGGGTAATCATGATGTTACCAGCTTAAGCTTTTCAGTGATGAAAGATTTGCCTGGTGTTTGTTGGAACTGCTTTATCTGAACATCTCGCTCTTCCTGCTGTTTCCTGCCGTTCCATCTACAGTACATAAAGAGAATCCTTGGTGGTCAGTGCAGGAGTCTGAGGGGGCTGCTGCATCAGAACTAGGAAAGTGGCATGTAAAGAAGTAGAAATGATGTTGCCAGAACCGAATAGAAAGTACTGGCACAGAGAAGATAATTTAACCCTTAATCCAGTTCATTTTAAAAAGGAGATTAAGGGTGGTGCCTGTGGCTGAGTGAGTAGGGCGCTGGCCCCATATAATGAGGGTGGTGGGTTCAAACCCCGCCCTCGCAAAACTGCAACAAAAAAATGGCAGGGCGTTGTGACACAAAACTGCAACAAAAAAATGGCCTGGCGCCTGTAGTCCCAGCTACTTGGGAGGCTGAGGCAAGAGAATCACTTAAGCCCAGGAGCTGGAGGTTACTGTGAGCTGTGACGTCACAGCACTCTACCAAGGGCAATAAAGTGAGACTCTGTTTCCAAAATAAATAAATAAATAAAAATAAAATGGAGATTAAAATAATATTGCAATAGGTTGTTTTACATTAACTGAGCATAAGTGAGGCATTTTCGTTTTGTTGTTTCTAATCTGTGTGTATGTAGAACAGTAAAAATTGAGAACTGTCCCTTTAATGAAACGCTGTTTACCTGTCCTCCTCTTGTAGGAGTGGCTTAGGAACCTGTAGAGTGAGGTATAACTTCCAATTCTGCATTCTGACCTACAACCTTGGGGAGAGTGCTGATACTACAGACCAGGAAGTGACAAATAATGTGCTTTAAACTACATTAGAACTTGTCTTTTATAAGGCGCAAATTTTTCATAACAAAATTGGGAGACTGAAGCAGTGAATTTACATAGTTGTCATACACATTTGGAGCTCTGCTTCAAATAAAGACTTTGAAGCATACTCGGAATACAAAACTTTCTGGGACAGAAATTGATCTTCTGACTTTTGAGCCTTATCTGATTACCACTTGGTTCATCTTTATTTTGTTAAACTCTCTATAGGCTGAAACGGGGAGACTTTTTTCTTCTCAGGTAGGTGGTCAGTTTTTGTTTTAAAAAATAGGTTGTTTTTTAAATTTGCTCAGACAGACTGGTTATGGTGCTGATTATTGAAAGAATTATGAACATCAGGGTTGGCATATGTTTTAATGTTTGAATATTCAGCATGGCTGTAATTTTTATGATGACTGAACAACTTTGCAGAAAAAGTCATTTTTAACAAATTGGTGAATCTATAAAACGATGAGTTAAATAAGTTCTACTTTGTTTTCCGTTAGTTAGCCTGTGTATATGTATTTAATTAGTAGATTAAAAAGGATATTGAAATTGCCCTGCTATTAACTTTCTGATAGCATTTGATAAAATAGTTAAAACATTTATTTATGTAGTTAAATAAAATTGCATTTTTGTTAGTATTTTGCTTATAGTATAAGTTTTATGTCTTTCATTTTAGGAAGCTGAGTATTTATCATTGGTCTGTTTGCTTTAGCTTATCTTTGAAATAGTTTGATATCTGTTTTTCTGAAAAGTTTTTATAAAATATTAATCTCACACAATTGAAATATTGCTGCCTTCTCTTTATAAAATTAACCATCCTTTTATGACACTAAAATAGTTTAAAGGTAATGTTTTTGGAAGATTGAGTTTTTAGTAGTCTGAGCTGTTATTGTGAAGAGAAGTTCACAGATGACTTTTTGTGAGTGGAAGTCAGAAACGAAACTGTGTGTGTTTCTTCAGCAACAAGGGCTATGGGTCCTTAACTTTCTTTACCAATAATGGTCTGTTTTATTTTTCTTCTATGGACACTATGCTTCAAAAGAGTTTATCTACTAAATAAGTGGTATATGTGAAATAATATTAGAACGTCACTATTTTTTGACATACATAATTTCCAATGAGAGTGTCTTATAAGCCTGAGATATCCACTCCAGGTTAATATAATTCAGCACAAAACAAAATGGCTTGCTTGCCATTGTACTTAGCTCAAATAGCTTTATTGTAGGTAACTGTCTCGATATTTTTGACTTTTTACAATACTATTAATAATATCTGAATTTTCACCACCTGCTCTTGTGGACCTAGTAATCTGAACATGGCACATTGGGCACTAGCACTGTGAAATGCATATATTTTGTTCTTAATTTCCTTAAGGTCCTATAAAATGTAATTAAGGTCATCTAGTATGACATCTAGTATGACAAACAAAGATACCATAGCTACCCGACAGAGAGAAGAAAAAAAGGAAAAGAAAAAGGGAAGGGGTTTTGTTGTGGGGAATATCAGGAAGGAATTCAAGGCATCTGTACGTTTTGGCCCCATCAAATCTATATTTATCTGTACTCTTTGCCAACTTAAAATTTTTACTTCAATTAGTCTGACAAACTATTAACTGATTTCAAAACAAATATTACTTTTGTTCATGTATTTCTTCTCTATTTTCAGTTGGTTTTCCTCTCCCCTACTTGTCTCATTTCTCCATTCCCTCATTCATATCCTTCCTTCAGCTCAGTTGAAAACCCTGCTCCAGTGTGAAACCTTATTGGATCACCTTTAATCCACAGTAGTATTTCCTTCCTAAGTTTAGACTTCCATGTCATGTCGATTCTACCACTACTTTAGTGCATAATCAGATTATGTGTTGTCTTATAACTTAAAGGCATCCCATGTCTCTGCAACGATACTGTAAGTTGTTCGAGGGCTAGGAGTTCAACTTCTACATCATTTTTATGCCCCTTAGCATCTAGTGCAGTAATGTACATTTGTTGGGTACTAAATAATCTGTTGAATAAATGAGAGAAATAAAGACTTTTTCTTATAGTTGCTTCAAGTGTTATGCTGCCTCTTTCTACCTTGCTTAATCATGTAACTAACTGTCTAACATTATTAGAACTCAACTCAGACCACTGGTTGTTTTAATATTATTGTTTTGCTATATAATACTTGAGTTTTTTGATGATTTTACACTGATATGCTACTACAAAGAAAGAACAATCTGAACTTTATTAAAAATAAATCAAAGGAAATATTCTGAAGTCCAACCCCTTGTTTTATATTTTAGGAGAATACAATCTAAAATTTTTTGGTATGTGAGGTTTTAAAAACAGGTCAAATATTCAGGTACATTATGGATTGAAAGGATGGGTTCTGATCTGACATCTAGGACTGAATGGTGATATGGTGGTTATCGTAATAAACCGATTGAATTGCAGAATTTAAACTATAGATCAGTAATTGCCAGAAACTAGGAACAGATTATTTTATACAAAGAAAATTGCAGACACTTTTACCTCTCCTTTACAGTAGTGATTATAATGCTCATTTAAAAATTATTTTATCTATTCTTTGTACGTAGCATCAGCTTTGATGATAGGCTGTATTAGCCCATTTTTATAGACACAAAAAGCAAAGGGTATAGTAAGGTCAAATAACTACCAAAGCCACACATCTAACTCAATAGGCCTTTTCACTTTGTTATGGGGCTGAGATAAGGACCACCGACTCAAATGAGAATTTCAAAAAGGAGTCTTTTATTGACCACAGGGCTGTCTCAGCAAAGTCTAAAGTAGACTAAGTGAGAGAGCAGTGAGGGGTCTGAAGTTGGGGTTTTTCTAGTCTGAAAGTTGGCAAAGGGCCAAACAGGGGGGCTGAAAGTTAGCAATTAGAAGTAAAAAGAAAGTTGGGGGAGGCGCCTGTGGCTCAGTGAGTAAGGCGCCGGCCCCATATACCGAGGGTGGCGGGTTCAAACCCAGCCCCGGCCAAACTGCAACAAAAAATAGCTGGGCGTTGTGGCGGGCGCCTGTAGTCCCAGCTACTTGGGAGGCTGAGGCAGAAGAAT